ATTCTATTCTTATAGCTAACTTAGTATTGCTATAGTCAAGACCAATACTTGCAATTAAGATGTATTATTAAATTGCTATGCTTATATTATCATAAATTGATAGTATAGTGGTTAGTACTTCTGAGTCTCAATTGCAAAACCACAAGTTCAGGTTTAGAGAATGACAAAAACTCTGTCAGGATTATAATTAAAAAAGATCTGCAGAGGATTTCTATTTAAAAAGCAAGAAAAAGATTTATACAAAAAAGAATGCAGTGACCAGCATAGCCACAGGGTCAAGAACAATCAGATAAGACATAATCTATTAACAAATGATGTTAATATTAAGAGAGCTTAATTTAAGAATATGTAGAATTAAAAATATTAAAATTTACAAACAATCTGACTGATAGGTCATATTAAGTTCTAGGAATTGGAACCATTTAACTATTTAAAAATTGCTCCATAGTTCTGAGCAGAATTATGTTGGTTGTGAGCTAGAATTATTTTAATGCTAGCCAAATTAGATAGTTAAACAATTAAATGATTAAACAATTAAGAAAAATTTTAGACAGTTTTAATTTCTATTAAGTTCAAGAACTGCAGATCAAAAGAGATAGTAGGTCCTATATCTTAAAACCAGAAACCTAAAACATTATATGATAGACTTAATGGAGCATGAGTTATCTTATAGTTCAGTAATATATAAAGGCTATATGCCATCTGATGATCTTTGAAAAATGATAACTCTGATCTTAAGAGACATGACAGGTCTTAAAGATATTTAAGAATCTTTAGAATAGTGAAGAGAGATAAAGATAAAAAAAAATTTGCTATATTCTTATAGAGTTCATCTTAACTCTAATACTGACTTTATAACATATTTCTATTATTTTGATATTCAATTCAAATTTTTTTAAGCTCTCAGATCAGATAGTATAGAAAAGTAAATTGTAATCATACTTTTGGTTTACATATTCTCTAATATGTAACCTTTTCTTTTAAAACAAATTTTAGCAGTTTGGCTGGTTCTATTTAGCTTCTTTCCAAAAACTGGCTTTTTGTCTAACTTTATGAGTTTTAATACTATTTTATAGGTTTAGTCTTTACAGTAATACTATCAAAAGTTTAGATTATCTCTCTATTTAGGTCTTTCAAGTAGACTTTTATCTTTCTACCTAGTTTTTATAATTTATATAGTCTAAAAACTTATTATAGGTTCATACTATCTAGTATTAGTTTGTATTTTTTTGTACAAAGCTGTACAAATGTTTAGATGCTAATATGATACAATTAACAGATATCTAATTTCAACTAATTATAAAAACAGTTAACTATAATATAGAAAGAATTGCAAATTTTTACTATTACTGAGATTTGAACTTTAGACCTGTCACTTAGAGGTTGACAATTTGTTCACTTCACTAAGTCACTACATCTTTTTAAAAATAATAATTAAGATATATAGTATATCAAAATATATATAATATTAATAATATAATATAAATTCAAAAAACATATTATACAATATTTACAAAAACTATAAATATAATTATTTATAAATAATTTACAAAAAAATTAACAATAAAGCTAAACAACAAACATGTTTAAAATATTGTAAAAGTAAAAATAATAATATCATATAAACAATATAATTAAAATTGTGTTATAAATATAATATATTTCTAAAATTATATATAAAACTAAAATTCAACTAAGTTTTAATATCTTTTTATAATAAAATTTAAATTAAAAATAAATAATAAATTATATAACAAATTTAGTTTTAATTAAAAGTTTTAGAAAAAAATGTAATAACTTAGTAAAATAAATAAGTTGTTAATCTTATAAGTAGTAGGTTGAATGTTTAAATTTTATTAATAGTGAAAATTTGAATAATCATCTATGTAATACTTGTATTATGATAACTGTTTTTAATAATTGGGTTAAGTTATCTATAATGCCAAGTGCATTAGCATGACTAGCAGGTTATAAAGCATTTGTGTAACTAATTACATAAAGAAATACAAATCAGTATTAGATGGAGCAAACTTTAAATAAGTTTTTATGATCATATAAATCTGTTGAAATTGAAAAACAAAAAGTTTATTTAAAAAGATCCAAATAAAAAAATAGCATAGATTTTTGATAATGCTACTATAAAGATTAGTCTGAAGAAACAGATACTAATATCAAAGTGCTTAGATAAGTAAGAACCTTCAGATTAGGAGTCTTAAAGGTACTATTAACTAGGTCATCAAAATGAACTTAAGAAAAAGGATATTGGATTGATCTGATATATAATAGATTAATTATAATTCTATATAAACTATCTGAATTAGAATTTGGAAAACAAACAAAAGTATACTAAAGTACTAAAGATATATTGTAAAGTAGATGCTAGAATTTAAGTGAACTCTACAAGAGCATAGTAATTAAATAATATAATTCTAAATACAAGTATTAATTCTGCTATAATAATATTTAAATTAACTATAAAAATAAATACAAAAGACTCTAAAAGAGTTATTTTGAAAATAAAATAGTTCTAAGATTAAGATAATAACTTAGGCTTGACTTAGTAATGTTAACACAGATGTTGGTTTAGGAAGTTTAAAATAAAACACCTAAGCAGAAGTGTTTGATACAGCAATTGATAGAGAATTTTTAGGCAGACTACTTAAATAAGTAATATAGAAAACTTATATATATAATTAATTGTAATAGAAAACTTATATATATAATCAATTGTACACTTTTTTTGTATAGTTTATATAATTATATTATCAAAAAAGTCATTAATAAAAGTCAAAAGACCAGAAAGGTCACCTTAAAAAAAAATCAAAATAAAAGTTTTTAGATAACTCAATATTATATAGTATATAAAAATATTTTAATATTAAATTATAAAAATTACAAATGTTATTAATAAAAAAAACTAAAATCAGATTTTACTATTTAAAAAAATAATAATATACAAGTAAAAAATTTTTTTATTAAAATTTAAGAATAGTTTTATATATACAATTTTAAGTTATAAATTATAATTAATTTTTGATAATTTTTAATAAAATAAATATTCGGTTTAATTTTTTTTAATTATGTTAAATTATATTTAATTTTTAAAATTACTTAGCTTTTATGTAATACGTATAGAGATATAGTTACAAATATATTACTTTTAAATTAAATTATCAACAATTATTTAACTAAATTTGATTTTTTTATTTTAATTTTAGAATTGTATAAATTTAAAATAAAAAATCAAATTTAGTTAAATAGTTATTAAAATATTTAAGTTTAGAGTTAAGAAAGCTTTTATTTGAAAAAAATTTATATATTTCTTTTTTAATTTGTATATAATATACTATATGTAAACCAGTTTTTTTAACTTATATACAAATTAACTACGATTAATTTAATTTTATAATATGAATTAAATTAAAAATTGTAAATATTATATAGAATTTTTTTCTTACTAAAATTTTATAATTATAATTCTTGTAATATAAACATAGAATTAACAAGTTTTTATAAAATTTGATATGTAATTAAGGTTGCCCGAACATTACAAGCCAATTCTAAGGTTAAAAGCAATGATGATCTGTTTGACCAAAGCAATTTAGCACAAAATTATCATGAGACTGTAGATTTTTTTTATGCATAGCTAAGTACCACGTAAAAAAATGAGTAATTACTAGTAATTACCAATTTTCCTACCAATCGGAGATTTAAAAGATTTTATATTCCGTTTACAATCGCAATGTAACGGTATACGTACGTATTGTACTGCATTTTTGTAACTTACCACTATAAGAATGATTAAAAAAAATTCAATAACTCCGATTGGCAGTTGATCACTGGCTAATCCCCGGATTTATATCTTTATGTATAAATAAGTTAGATAATATCGATATTGTTTATACATATATTCTGTATTACGTATACATATGTAAACACAATAATTTCAACTCATGTATCTTTTATGATTTTTGTAGAGGTTCGTTTTATAAGGACCTTATAAGGTTCGGAGTATTAAAAGTAGTGTTCCGCAAACGGGTACCCGAATTGGAACCGCGGGGGATGTTTAACATTCCGCTGTCAAGCAATTGGGTATGTGATATGATTATTATCTAATTGCCTGACGACAGAATGTTAAAAATTCCAATTCGGGTACCCGCATTTAGAATTGAGGAATATTTATTGGAATTTTTTTAAATTTATAATTATAATTAATATATAATATTTATATAAAATTTTATGGGTTCTGTGTTAAATCAGGTTAAATAATTAGGATCAAATATAGTACGATTAATCAAATTGATTATTAATCAATTGATATAAAGTGATGTCTCTTGTAATCAGTATGACATGAATGACCAGAAAAATATAGTACAAACTGACTTTAAAAAAACCATACCAGGCTAATCGGTTATAAGTCATAACCCTAAAACTAATTATATAACTCCAGATAAGTCTGGTACAGATTTAAAAAATTTGGATTGTGCTAGTCATCCATACTATACTGATCAACAAAATACCTATTGGTTTAACTAAATTTAGACGATTGTAATTGTACACAATCGACCATATGATAAATCGTTTAAAAAATAAATGAATTTACATATAGAATCTATTAAGAGTCAAAACAACCAATTACGACATACGAATTCGAATCATGGTTATTCATTGAATGAAGTAATTTCATTAAAAAGACATCAAATATAATCAATATAGAAACAAGCCAATGAAATGAAAGTTACAAGAAATCTTAAATATTTTTAACTTGTATGCTAATTCGAAAGTAGTTACTTGATTGATTAAGTTAATTGATAACAATAACTTTGAAAATTACAAAACTGTAACAACTAACGCTAAAAGATGATAAGTACGTAAGTACATATGTACAGTACATAGCCGTACGTATCATTCATACTATAACTTAAAAAGGTAGTACTAAGCATGTACATAGTTACGCATGTATCATGTCAATAATTATGCAAAAATTATGTCATCTGTGCATGAAGAACCATGAAATATGCGTTTTGCCCTTTAAAGTAAAACGTATGTATACTAATGTTAAATTTAGTAATTATTAAAGGTATTAATACTATTATCTTAAAGAACGTATACAAATTCGTTTCATTATAGCGGAGCTTTTTGTAATAGAACCATTGCTATAGCGGAGTAATACTCCAGAACAATTCAAGATTATTAGTATTATTCTACGTAATACTGTAGCGGAAATTTGCTAAATTTATTATAGCGGACCAGTCCGACAGATCTGTCATATGGAGAGAGAGAACCGGGCTTACTCCTTTTATTTTAAAGCAAGAGGCTAAAAATTTTCATATGCCATCTTTCATTCATTATATGATGAAATCATCAGATACGTAAAAAGTTTTTTTTTAATCAGTTAGAAATGACAATGTTAATAACCTATAACATTATATTATCCGATTTTAAAAATATAATCAATCAACTACGTATTGATAATCTGGATAATCATCGGAATTCTTAATATTTTCAAATTTAGTATGTATTTTTCCATGAACGTAGATGATATTGTTCCTTACAATGGCAAAAAAAACAATTATTTCTGTAAAAATATTTTTATTGATACTATTAATTTTGATAATCGGAAAATGATAAAAATGTATAATTTCATGTATAAAATTTAATATAATTTAATGTTAATAAAATAACATACATAGTCTTAAATTTCATTATTCATTTTTTTTTTTTGTTACTTAAGCAAGTATTGGTATACATATATTAACAATATATTAACAAATTCTATTTTTAATTTTATATAAATATTATTTTTTTATTTTTTGTTAAAAAAAAACACTATATATTAAGTTCTAGATCTATTCATGTATGCATTTCATAATTTTAATAAAACTTTATCTAATAACATTTTGGATGTACAACTTTGATACTGTAACGATTGTTGGTTTACAGGTTCACATGACAAAGTGACCAACATTAACGATAGCATGCATTTAGATGTGATAAATTTTTTAAAGACACGTACGCATACACACACACACACACGCACGTAAATACGTACATACTAATCAGTTATATACGTACGTAAGTACGTATTTGTAGTATTTAGTAACTTTTGTATAGCCGTTTCACAGCATTCAAGACGTACAGTACATACGAATAATATGAATAGTATGAATAGTACGAATACGTAAGATGAATAGTATGAATACATAAGATGAATAGTATGAATAGTATGAAGTAAAACTAACTACTTCCAATTATTTGATTAATTATTATAAATAGATTATTCCAAGGTAATTCGTACCCAAGTACAATAAAAATCTATTTATGATTTACATAATGAAATTGTACGATTGTTACATTCCCAGAGATGTAATGATAATGATTTTTTTTTGCACAATAATTCTAACTGATCAAAAGGAAAATATGGAGTTATTTTTTCGTAAACGATCATAAGTATCAGTGTATATAGTGCATGTATGTATATACATATATGATATTAAATGAGTTCCGAGTTTTGAATTCCGAGTTTTAAATCCAGAGTTTAAAGGAATAATATTTATACTACGTATCTTTTTTTTCGATAAAAAATCTTTATTAAAATACCAAATATAGATAGTGTATATGTTGTGGCACATCAGGCGACTAAGGAATAAAAAACCAAAGGAATTATATAATGGGAATTTTAAGAAAAAACGTACGTACGTACGTAGAAATGTAAATACTAAAAAAATACAAATAATGAAAACTTAATATTATAAATATTAGCGTAACAAACTTAAAAAGCACATAACATAATTGAATGAATTTTAAAAGGAAAGTAAAAAATCAAGACAGTAATTTGGCGGGAAATTACTGTGTTACGATTGTGTATTTAGCGTGTTTATAATGTATGACAAAATATACAGTATATCTAGAATTTAGATAACATAAAATTTGAACTAAATATTGTAATAAATACCAAATATTTCCAAAGTATTTACCAAAAGAAGGAGAGATAAGTGTCATTGTAGACAAGTAAAGAAAATCTATACATAAAAGAGTAATTTCGGAAGCTTTTACCGATTTGTTGATCATAAAGAGAATAATTTTTATCGGAGTATAGTCAATTAATAATGTCAATGTATAGTCAATTAATAATGTCAATGTATAATCAATTAATAATGTCAATTAGTACAATTAGTACTGGAACCTTAGATGCCAAAAAAAAAAAAATTTTTTGGTAATTACTTTATTTGAATAATTGAATACATTAAATGCCTAGTACAAGTTTTTTAATAAAGTCAAATAAAAGGATGCATAGTTCTTTTTTAACTTTAAACGTGGTACATACGTCCGTAAGTAACGATGTTAATTCCTTAATTAGAAAATTAAAAAAAAAATAAACAATGACATATATGATAATAGTAGTAAAGTATACTTTCGGAGTTTTGACTACAAACTCCTGGAGATCCTTATTGGTCGCGATCCTTATTGATAATTACAAACTGCGTAACGCGGAAAAATATTCAAGACAGCAAAAAAAAAATTTTGAAATAAGCATTTAAATATGTAATTTTTATTTTGCATGAAAATTATGCATAAAATCAAAGACTTAATCGTGATTACTAAATTTATCTTAATAAAAAGCAACTTGTTAAATTAATGAATAAGATATATGAGATATACGTATAAAGTAGGTATTTAATTTTATGTGAATTATCTAAATTATCTAAATTATGGTAAAATTATGTAAATTACGTAAATGATGTTAATAATGTAAATTACGTAAATAACGTGAATGATGTAAATGATGTAAATTATTTAAATTATGTAAATTATTTAAATTATGTAAATTATTTAAAGTATGTAAATTATTTAAAGTATGTAAATTATTTAAAGTATGTGAAGAAAACTAAAGACTAAAGTCCGGAGTTTTGATTATCACGATGCCAACACAGAAAAGTTAAAAACAGTCAAAAGTCACGAGAGATGGTGATGATCAACTTGTTTATAATACAAAATTTGTATGGGTGTGATACGTAGTACTAATTCTAGGATATATTCTCACGGTTGCGTGTAATGGAGATTCAATTCCGATAAGTCGCGCACTTTGGACTTGCGCGACTTACACATGCAGTAAGATGGGTGTATCTTAGATACACCAAAGTCATACACTAAAAGCCTCTTAGCACATAAAAAGCAAAGACCATAAAATATTATAAACGCTTGCAGTTTAGAACAATAAGGAAACTTGAGTATTCTTCTTAATGCTTATGAAATTCTATAATGAAATTTAACACGTGCAAATCTTTTTATTACGCGTAATCCATATCTAAAAGAAAAGTTGGCGTTTCTTGGATTCTATCAACATATCTTGCAATATATTATTGCTAATATATCTAGCAATATATTATTGGCAATATATTATTGGCAATATATTATTGGCAATATATTTTGCAATATATTTTGCAATATATTTTTGCAATATATGGTAATATTATAAAGTCAATTATTTATTTATTTATACAATACAGCAATAGCAAAGAATGATGGTTTATGCGTGATCGCAAATTTGTAATTATCATTGTGTACAGATTATCAAAGACCGTAGATGGCTTCAATGACAGTGTATCAATTTATCAATTAAGCATTGCCAAACGAAAAAAATTGGAAATCTTTTCTGAATCCCTGCATTGAATCAACTAATATTATCAAATATGTTAATTTAGATATATAATTGACTTGAACTTGGTATATAATTTATCATAAAATTTTGTAGAATCTTATAGATTTCTATAGATTCTATAGATTTCTATAAGTTTCTATAAATTTCTATGAATTTCGATTGTTCGTTATAAAGAGGGTTGACTGCATATACTGTATATATAAAGTAAAGTAAGAGGTGTTAACTATGTTAATTATGTTATTTTAAATTGTTTAAAAGTATTTAAATTAAATTATGTTTAAATTATTTAAAGTATCTTTGCGATCTGGAAAAATCATGATCCAGAAAAATCATATCTCATGACTCAAGAATCATTCGACATGATCACCAGATCAAGCTAGATAAATCTAGATAAAACTAGATCATGCTACATCACGAGATTATTCAAACGAAAATTAACATTAACGTTAACGTTTTTTTTTTTTTTCTTAAAAAAAAAAAAAAAGATCGAAAAATACTACTAAGATTATCTTAATCATATCAATCATTTTTGTCTATTAAAAAAAAATTATTTCCCGAAAATTAGAAAAAAAAATATATACAAGATAAGGGTTAGTTATTATTTTTAGTATATGTATCCTATGTAAAGACAATGTTGTACAATTTTATTTAGTGGTACAAGTAAATTAAAGTTTGGTCGTAAAGTGTTAGATGGTTGAAAAAAAAAGATTTGTGCTATAAATTCTAATGCTATAAATTTTCTACGTATTATAAAATTCTGTATTATATCGTTAACTTTGATGCATTCTATTATAACATACAGAATAATTAAGGGTAAATAATTAAATGTAAATAATGTACAAGTAATTATATTCAGATAATTATGTTCAAATAAGTATTATTATGTTCAATCATTAAGAATTTTCTTGAGAAACCAATGATCAAATAAACAATAAATTTCATGTTTTTATGCTTAATCCAATATTAATACTTTATACTATTAATTCACTTACCATTATTCGTTCACTTGCCATTATATTTTTATCACTATTATTCGTTCACATATTATTTTAGATTCTAGATTATAATAGATTCACCTAACAAAATAATAATAATAATTTTTTTTTAAAAAAAAGCGTGTTTTAATTTAAAAATACAAAATAATACATAATTATCAAATTTTTTATTTGTTTAATCAAAAATAAAATCCAGTTTGTCTTGTCTTGATCTAAAAAAAAATGAAAACCTTACAGACCAAAGTAAATCACATACGATAATTATGAAAAAAAATAAATATAGAGCTCATATTTCATAAATTTCTAAGACTAAGTAAAGAAAAGATATTAACAAACACACAAAGTGGGAATTTAATAAAAGAATGAAAAATAATTTCAAAAAAAATAAAGTAAATGTACTAACAAAGGAAAAAAAAAAAAAAATAAAGATCGAAAAGATCAAAAAAAATAAAAAAGATCAAAGTATGATATAAACACAAATATCATGACTCAAAATTTCTATAAAAGTTTATAAAATTATAACAGATTAATCTTTTTTTTTTGTAATGATATTTGTTACGTTAATATATATATCGATATATATTGATATATATTGATATAGGTTAATATATGTTTGATATATGTTAATATACATATGTTAAATATATTTGACATGTTGAACCAAGACCTTTATTTAACAGAAAAAAAAAAACATATAATTCATAAATAATAGTAAAAAATTAAACATACAAGAGTTGAAAAGATGAAGATGGGTAAATAAAAAATAAACACATCTGTTTACACATCTATTCACACAATTGTTCACATAATTGTTCACATAATTGTTCACGCAAGTTTTTTTCACACAATTGTTATTTTCATACAATTGTTCATAAATCTATTAAAAAATTTTTAATGAATTATATGATCAAGCTAATCAAGTTTTTGGTTTGATTAATCTGTTTGCTTAGACTCAACATAACCAGAATCTTTACGAATAGACTTTGTTCGACCCAATTTTGGAGGAACTGGTGTTGCAAATGTTACATGTGAAGCATCTTCAATAGGTTCAGAATGAATGATAGGTGAAGTAGTTTGTTGTTTATAAGCATGTTTACGACCAGATTTACGAGAAACGTTAGGTACGGTTAAACTGGAAGGTGTAGCAGTGTTAAGTTTGTTATTTTGTGATATCATGATATTTGTGGTAGTTATCACTAATTTTTGTAATTCTTCGAGACTGCAGGTTGTTAAATCAAGCCCTTTTAACCTCCAAGATAATTTATCATCTCGCTTTTAATTTTACAATATAATATGACAAATATAATAAAATATTATAAATATAATAAATAAATGTAAATAAATACAATTGAAATTATTGATATAATTGATAATTATTAAAAAAAAAAAAAAAGTATTTTACAAGAAAGAATAATAAAAAAAATCAATTTTATTCACCTTGAAAAGATTTTGGGTAGTTTTAGAGAGTGCATTAACTAAATCTTCTATTCTTCCAACACGTTCTGTTAGAGTTTTAACACTAATATCACTCTCTTTACATCTCAAACAGCTTCTATGTTGCTGTTTTTCCAATGAATTAGCAGGTTTACCAACTGTAGTTACTTTCACTCTCTGTACTCGAGTATGTCCACGTGTTTTTAGATTATATGAAGGACTCTTGGAATTACTATTCGATCGATTAGTGATTGCGGAAGTTTTGGTAGTTGTCATTATAAATAATGTTTAATACTATAATTAGATATTGATTTAAAGAGTGTGATATGTAATTTGTTAATATCAAATATTTACGTAGTTCAGTCTGAAATTTCTGATTATTATAATTTTTATATATATTTACAGTGTGCCTAACTATTGTTCTAGTAATGAAAAAGCTTTATTTTTTTGAAGAGCTCTAACAAGAAAGAATGGTGGGGACATTGCTTTTATATAGTACGAATACGTACGAATCTTTTTTTTTTGGTGTATACTGTATATTTTTATATTTGGTGTCAACAATCAGGAATTATAACTCCGAAGGAACACTAAATTAATTATTAAGTTATATTTATAATAACAATATAAATAATTAATTGGCTAAATCATCAGAACCCGTTTTTTTTGCGGAATCATGCACATGCTCCCGAAATTACCGTTCTTCCGAATCCCGTTCCGCTTATCGCTGAAGTTAAAAAAAAAATAATAATAATATATATCGACATTTTCTAAAAATTCACATATCCTTATTCACATACCTTTTTACACATTATTTTTATATTCCGGACTTTTTTTTCTACTCCTTTTTTTTCCTGTCTTTAACCGCTCTCCGGTATAGTACTCCGTAAATATTTACCTACTATGGAATTCTCATCCTGCATTTCTATCCCGTTATACTATATACTTAAATGACAAGTTTTCAGCTAGCGTTAAAAAGATTTCAGATTACTGCAATATCCTCGGTATTGGTAACCAAGTACTACAATTTATTTATTATTATTATTTAAAAAATTTCACAAATGTCTAAAATGAATACTGATACGTAATTATGATAAGTATATATCTGATATTGAATTGAAATAATTTTTTTTAAATTATAAAAGATTTTCTTTTTCAAGTAAATTTATATATTTCTTATTAAAGTACGTACTCATGTACTTACGTATCTGTTATGTACTTGTAACGCTAAAAAAAATACTGGATATACCCACGGCTTGTACCATTATTCTGGTTGACATTTTTGATAACTTACATAACTTACATTATCACATTTATATTAGCATTACGCGCCCATAACAAACAATTTTTTTAAAAAAACCATTGGCACGTGTGTGGCTTTAAGATAGCTTCAATGATGACTCGGGACTAATACGTACGTACGTACGTACGTATGTAGAATATTTCAATATCAATATTATGTACATCACAGGAATAAGAAAAATGAGTGATAATTTTTTATCTTTATACGTAATACGTACTGTACGTAATAGACCTACTTTCCTGAATTAAAATTTTTATCCAAATTTATATCCAATGTTTGAGTACCGACTGTATATTTATTCATTCCGGAATCCTCTTAACATATTTGTATTGCAAGACTGACAACAATCATTTTACAAAATTACGAATTATAATCCTTGCAGTCAAATCAATGATTTCTATTTTTATTTTGCAATATTTGTGATGTTTATACGTATCTGTCTATCTGCAATTAACTTTATTATTAATTATCGTTATTGAAATAATTATTGTTATTGAAATTTATATTTTTGTAAAAGTCATAAGTCAATGTCTACTCACGTGTCCTTGCATTTGTCTTGGCTAAACTTGTCCACGTGACAGAACCAATTATCGATGTTCTCTTGTGGTTTAACAAGAACAAACTGTTTTTTAAACATATACGTACGTACGTACGTATGTTTTCAATACTGTACGAATAATATCTTTTCTTATTAGAGTTTCCTAAAGTTTTTAATAAAATGGAAATACCCTTTTTAGTAAAAAGATATTTAAATGGTGCTTGTTTACCTTTTATATTGAATTTATTAGAAAATTTTCTTTTAGTGATTAAGGTGATTTAAAAAAAGTAGATTCATTTATATACTATATCAAAACTCCGCATTTATTAAATATGTTTACAACTATTTATGTTGCGAACGTAAATAAATTCCCAATGTATATGTTACCTTACATCCTTAAAGAAGTTAATGTGACTCATTTTAGTAATTCCATATATATTTAGACTTACTTATCTTAGTAATAGTTTAAATATGGCATTTCTCTAATTAATTATATTCTTTAATTATATGCTTATTTAATTATTTTGAATTATTTATAACAGTTCAATATTATTGAATTATTTATAACATTTTAATCTTATTTGATCATTGAATTTATTCTTCATTGTAGACTATATTTATACATTAATACAATAGTTGGACAAAATTATTCTTTCATTTAGCTTACGTATTTTAGCGATTACAATAAAACAATTAATATCTATCATTAAAATTTTTACAAATTCCTTAATCGGTTTCCTTTTTCTAAATTAATATCTCAAAAGTGTGTATAGTATTATAATTGCTCTCTTTAAAATTTTAACTATTAATGTGAACTACCAAATGTATTGCAGTATTGCAGTATTGCAGTATTTGTCTATTCTATCTTTCCCTTTGATCCAATGATGATCCTAATGAATAATTCTAATGAATGATTCTAATGAATGACCCTAATGAATGATTCTAACGGTCAATGAATGATTTTATTCAATGATTCCTAGTGAATGAATCTGGTAAAAAGATTTGTGAGATGCATTTAGAGTGTACCGGCTGTAATAAATAAACGATGCCTATTCGACTTATTTGGAAATTTTATAACATGATTTTGTCACGCGTTTTAAATTTAAACCTCATTATCGTTATCGTTTTATTGTTATATTATTAATTCTCAATTTATCATCGTGTGAAAATATACGTACGTAATACTGGATTACTGTATATTGATATGGTTAAAGACGGATTGGGATTGAGACCGACTGAAAATCATTTTTTTTATAAAATTCTTTGTTTTCAAATGAATTTTAATAGATTACTATGTGGTACTTTGATTTACTATTATAACGCCAAGTCTTTGTAATTAGTACATACATACCTGCGGAATTGATTCATAATTCAACGCCAATTGGGGGTTTTTTTTAAAAAAAAAACTTTAAAATTCATAAATTTTATTAATAATTTTTATTAATGTTGCTTATTAATCGGCTTAACCGTTGGAAAAAAGACTATCCGGTGGCTGTGTTCACGAAACATGTTTCAAAACAATGGAAAATTATCTTGGTTTGTTACAAATTAACGTTTCGTAGAATTTATTTAGAGAAAAAAAAACCCCGCAAAAAAATTTTTAAAATTACGTGAATGATTACGCATGACCGCAGCTTATAAAAAAAAAAAAAAAAAAAAACGGATAATATATTTATCAGTATTTTATACATTGTATCATTTTATCCACTTTTGACGTACTGCTGTACTGTGGTATATCGGCGATTGCCAGTCTGTAGATCTTAATTGTGACTTATACCAGTAATACTGTAATAATATAAGATAATACTATTTATTTGTCATTATCTATAATTTATGTCCGTTCTGGCGTTAGGCGCGGTATTAGCAATTGTCTGTAATTTATATCAACTTATTCACTAATTGCACTTATTGTACTTATTGCACTTATTGCTGTGTGGAAATTGAGACACTTGACCTAATTTGGCGTTTATTAGAAACAACCACATGACCTAATTTTGGCATGTCCTAAATTATAATGTTGGCCATGTCAATAAGGTTAATGCTGGTGATAACGGAACTATCTAATCAAAGTTCAAGATCTGGGTGACGCAGAAAAAACAACTGTCCTAGCGTAGGAACCCGCACGAAATTGGGTTGCGGAGCTTGCGGTCCGCAAATGATTTATAAGTTCCCACAACTAAAATCTGAAATGTATATTCGGTTCCGCAACTAAATTCATATGATCCGCAACTAAATTAAAAATTGAATTTCAGACACTGCACACGGGCCTGAAATTTTAAACTTTTGCTGTCTCACACGGCCCGCAAATTAAAGAAGTTCTGACTGCATTTTATATACTAAGCCCGCAATTTTGTGAGTCTTTACTGTTATTTATCATAGTTTTTGGATCACCTGATGACAATTAGCCAAATCGAAATGATTTTTTGGTCAGTTTTATACTTTCGGCCACATAATAGATCCAATAGAATACAAAATTGTTGACTAGAGCATTAGCACATGATTATTGCACCTGCATTACCATACTTTATATGCTAGCTTTATGAAAGTTTTGGCCAACAAATTACATGTCAGAAACTTATAATAATTTTAAAGGACATATCATATGTTATACTTGTTCTACTGTTAATTTTAGCATTATAAATTTCAATACATTCGATCTTATTAAATTTTCGTTTGAACACTTACTCGGCATGTTTATACCATATTTAAAATCATGCTTAGCGTGCTTACCGTACAGCGTGGTCTAAAAGACCCCTTTTATAATACCCTTCACAACTTTTAGAGGCCTAAAATATATATTAAATAGCTAGAAGTCCAATGACAGGTTTTCTCTTGCGACAATTATATAGTGCAACCTATATCTCCTACGCTAACTATAATATTTCTCTGACTATAATACCTATACATGCAGATAACTTGTAAAGTACCTTAGACCACACGCTGTACGGTAGTTTGTACGAAAACATATATACCAAATTAACAATCTAACTTATATCGATATTCTGAAATCACTCACTAACTTAATCGAATCGGCCACAAAATCATTCGGCTAATTTTATAATAGTAGTAAAATTTTTTAATTTCAGCCCAGCCCGTGCAGGCCTCTATCCTAGATTTACAACTAGTGTCCGCAAACGAGTACTCGAATTGGAACTGCAGAGGATTTTTAACATTCTATCGTCAAACAATTGAGTAATAATTGTGCCTCATTTCATCATTATCTAATTGCTTGATGACGGTATGTTAAACATTCCCTGCAGTTCCAATTCGGTCCCCAGAACACTATCGCCAACCTTTAAAATTTCGCTGACCAATCAGACTTCAAGATAAGGGATGACGCAAAAAAATTCAATCCAAAAAATCGGTCATAATTATACATGTTGGCAAAACTACGTATTAGGATTTGAGTTTTGGATAAATTTTATTATGTTTGGAAGTTGGGTAGGATTTTGAAGATTTATACTTTTGCCAATAAGTATAATCATAATACCATAAATTCTCAGATACCCATTCAAATCCCATTATCAAGTGGAAAAATCCTATAACCCAAACTGGAATAATTATATTTAATTCCAAATTTTGGTTAAATTTTAAACTTCAGTCAAATCCCAAATTTGAAAGTTGACTAAGGTTTAGGATTTTGTTATCTCAAATTTAAATATAGTTAAATAATCCTATTTGTCCTGGTATGTTCAGGTCCAAATCCCAAATATTTGGACGGCAACTTTACATGTTGGTTAAGCTATTAGGATTTGGGATTTGGGATTTTGGATTTTAGATAAATTTTATTATATCTGAAATTGAAATTTTATTATGTTTTGAATTTGAAATTTGAGTAGGATTTTGAAAATTTATAGTTTTACCAACAAGTATAGTCATAACTCAACGTTTTTTACCAATTTTTTCACGGCAGATTCTCGATTTTAATTGGCTACTGCCGTGATCTACAAAATTTTGACCCGCATTACATCATTGGTTACATAATTTTGGTCGGAATTAAATTTTTTTTCATTCCAAAATAGAAATGTTTAAAGAAATAGGCCCACACGATGGTAAAAGTAGCCCAGGAACATTTTTCGCTTAATGGGCGGTTGTGATTTAATTAGTAAAATTTTGAATAACTTCAGTTTAAATTTTTGATCGTCACTCAAATCAAAAAGATAGCTAGGAACACCTTTTGCGCACTAACAAAAAGTTTTTCTTACAAAATTTTGGTGCTACTAAAGCTCTTTCTAACCTATCTTAATATCAGAACCTAACCTTAATCTAACAGCGAAATTTTTTAGCTTGGTAACGCTGAGACAGTTGGATGTAAAATTACTGCACAATTTTTTTGCGTAATTTATAGGGATGGGATCGGCTTAAGCCGGCTGGCTCAGCTCAAAAAAGCCAAGCTAGCAAGCCAGTGCAAGCCAACCGGCTCAAGTGAGCCGGTTTAAACCAAACCGACTCCAATAAGTAAAATCCATATGGGGTCCCGAGAATAGGTAAATTCAGCATTTTATCAACAAGGTATCTACAGATCAATAGTAAATATCTCTCCCTGTATGTGCAGGGTAAACACTTTTGGCTAAAACTGTGGCGAATCAAACATCTACAACTTTTTTGTGCGTTATGGGTTCAGAATTGATCCAAAAATATCTTGAAGATGGTCCAAAACTTGTACGCGAATTATTTTATGGTGCCGAAGAACATGCGTCTTCCATTGTATTTATTGATGAAATTGATGCTAATGAAACTAAACGGTATATGAACATGAATCTTATTCTGATTGAATTTATAATTTTAATTGTCGTTATTTTATTAATTTATTATATTATTGTTGTTGTTGTAAATTGACATCATTTAATTATAGATATGATTCCAATTCAGGTGATGAAGAGAAATTCAAAGAATTATTTTAGAACTTTTGAATCAGTTAGACGAGATGTCAAGGTTAGCTAGCTTGTGGGAATTTTCCTGCTTATATTAGTATGTATATAAATTATTAATTCGATTTTTTATGTTTATAAAGGTCATCATGGCAACGAATCATATTTAATCATTAGATCCTGCTCCGATTCGTCTGGTCATATTGACCGAAAGAATTTTCACTTCCAGACATAAAAATGAAACGTCGTATTTTTAATATTCATATGGGGGGAATGACATTATCAAAATGATATGGATCTTGAGGAATTTGTAATGTCTAAAGATGATTTGAGTGGTGCTGTGATATGGATTAATGGCTAGAATGCGGGTACATATGAAATGTTGCAGGTTCTGTTCTGTGCTCTCCTTGCCCATGTGAAGATTGTCCAGTTGAAATATCGGAATGTGACTTAATGTTAATCTGCACTTTGTTTATTTGGTCATTATACTTTTGTTATTTCTTTTAGCACTAAATTATAAAAATAAGAAAAAGAAATAGGAACCACTACTTCCAACTCGTGTTGGTAAAAAGCAAGACCTTAATGCAATGTCTAAATTACCTGCCAGTATCTTAACCATGAATAATTTCATATATTTTTCTGTGAGATGTTTGTATAATTTTTTTAATAATCACTTGTTCTTTGATAGTCTTTCTTATAACATGATGTCAACTGAAATGTTTTAAAATGTAATGTATAAAAGATTATTTACTGATAAATAAAGAGTTTGTTCAAAATCAAGGAAGATTAAAATCACAAAAAAAAACACAAGTATCTGTTTTTTTCATTATAATTTTTAACAATTACTATTTGTATATGAAATATATGTACCTTGGCAATATCAAAACTCCTATTATAAAATCATCTTTTTGCTTATAACTAAACAAATTTTTTGCAAAATTTTGGTATAAACTATATTTCACTGTAATCCCTAGTCTACCTTTATTCTAATAATAAGCAATAGTTTAATTTTTGTTATAAAAATTACAAAATTATTAAAATTGATACTTGTATAATATATACTTTATATATAATTATAAATTTTTATAATTTTTTATATTATAAAAATATTTTTGACAATAATAATGTTAACTATTATTAACCTGTAGTTTTTTCTTTAACCACAGTAATAAGAAAAGTTGCTCAACTATAGTATGATGACTATAACTTGATAAATTCTATACAAAAGTCTA